AAAAGTACTGGAGTGGAAAGTGGCGGGTAAGTGAAATGAGGAGAGTGAGGAAAACATTTTGGTGTTCCCAAAAAACGACATGGCGAGAGATACGAAGACGTTTAGAGAGAGGATCCCAACAACGAAAACCTTTATGTTCAATTCCATACCCAAGAAAGCAACAAAGATGAGAACGAGGTTCAAGTTTGGTGTGTTCATGAGATTGAAGAAGAACAAAGCAGGCAGAGCCAAAAACCCCGGAGATTGGCGTAAGGAGGGGAGTGCCATGCAGACGTTCAAAGGGAGTTTGATTATGGATGACAGGAGTAGGAGCACAGTTGATAGTGTAACAGCAGTGAGGGCAGCTTCCCCCAAAAGTTTTCAGGACAGGAAGAAGAGAGAAGGAGAGCACGAGTAGTGTCAGCAAAAGATAGCTATGTTCGTTAGCGCGGCCATTTTTGCTGGGACGTGCCAGCACAAGAACGATGAGGCAGGGTACCATGATGCTGAAGAAAGGAAAGGAAATCTGAATCCCGATATTCCATAGCATTGTCAGAGCGAAAAATTTTGATGGCTTTGGAGAATTGGGTGTGGACCATTTGGGCAAATCTATAATAAATGTGTTTAAGTTCAGACCGATGTTTCATGAGAAAAAGCCAAGTAAACCGGAAAAATCATCAATAAAAACAAAAATAGCGGGAGCCCCCATAGTAGTAGTAGGGGAGGGTCCCCAAATATCCGAATGTATAAGATCAAAAGGTGCAAGAGAACAGAAGTACTTTTATTAAATGATAAAGCAGGTTGTTTGGCAAGTTGACAGGGTATACAATCGAAATGATCGGGAATTACATGACCCAACTGGCCACTAGAAACCAAAGACTTTAAGCGATTAACAGAAATATGCCCTAAGCGACAATGCCAAAGATGAAAGGGAGATAATGAGGAAGGCGATGTAGGAGCAGCGATCTGAGGAGAGGGAGGAACATGAAGTGAATGAGTTCATAGAGACGTCCACGCTTACGGCCGATCCCAATAGTCTGCCCCTCTGAGGGTCCTGTACCAAAACAATCAGTAGCAGAAAATGTGACAGTTAGACCAAGTTCACATAATTGACCAATGGAAATAAGGTTTAAGGTGAGAGCAGGAATATGATAAACTTGAGGTATAGATAAAGAAGAGGTGGAAACAGTACCAACATGACGGACAGACATGAGGGAACCATCAGCAGTATGAATGGAGGGAAAAGGAGGAGATGAGGAGGAGGAAGAAAAGATAGTAGAACTGGAGGTCATATGATTACAATAGGCAGAGTCAAAATACCAAGAAGAGTTACCTGGGATGACAGACAAAGCAGTAGGAGGAGTTGTACCGGAAGGGGAGAGAAGTTGTTTGAGCATGGCCTCTACATCCGTCGGAGAAAAGTGAGGGGTAGACAGAGCAGGTGACTCAGAGAACCCCGCAGAGGCAGAAGCATCAGTGTGATGAGACTGATTCCCGGAAGCAGCAGTAGCAGTGTGATGAGACTGATGCCCGGAACGATGAAAGCTTCCCCGGGAAGAGCCACCGCGAGAGGAGTGGCTATTGGAGGATGATCGGGAAGGATTGCGAAAACAATCCTGTTGCAGATGACCAGGACCAAGTTTGTTGTAGTAGCGACAGGATTTGACGGGGCAGTTGACCAGGAGATGGGTTGAAGGAAGGCCCCGATTCTGACAATAGAGACAAGCAGTGGTCCGCGGGGGAAATGACGGCCGGGACGGAGGAGTGGCAAGAACAGAGTCCACATGATGAGTTTGAAGTGTACCAAGACGAGTCTCCTCTGATAGCAACTCAGAAATTGCTTGTTCAAGAGTGGGCAATGGATGACGATGAAGCAGAGAGGCACGTACGGGCTCAAAAGAGGAAGTAAGAGCCATGAGAAAGTGCACCAATCTTTGCTGGTTGCGATAGATAGTAAATAAAACAGCATCTTCGTGGTTATACCAAGTCGGTTCTGAAAGAGCAAGCTGATCCCAAACAGAGTACATTTGAGAAAGGAAGTCATTGATGGACTGAGTGGATTCTTGGCGCATGCGATGAAGTTGGTTCTGAAGTTGATATTGATGGGCAAGACCAGTAGTCTGGTATCGTTCTTTCAAAAAATTCCAGATGTCTTTGGCAGGAGTATTTACAGACTCTAGCTGAAAACGACCAAACTGAAGACTGATAGAGGTAATAGAGGTATTACGAAACCAGGTAATGATTTGGTAATTCTTACTGTCCCATTCCTCAAGTCGGTCTTCATATGTAGCAGTATGAGCAGTAGTTTCAGTAGTGACACTGTTTTTTACCGGTTTAGTCACATCCCCGGTGACAATTCGCCAGAGCTTCTTGCCTTTGAGGAAGGAAGACATGGCTTGGGCCCACAGAACATAGTTTGAACCATTCAAAATAACGGAAATGGGATGGGAGGCATCAGGACGATCCATAATACTAGTTGAGTAGGATTAAAGCTATAGGAACAGACCTGTAGGAGCAAAATTTGGTAAAACAGAGTGTACCAATGAGTCCGGAAGGTCGAAAATAGCCAGGAAAGGTCTGCTGGACAGAGATGATGTCAGCGATGATGTCAGCGGCGCACGTTAGCAGAGTGCAGGGAGGAGCACGTTAGCAGGAAGGCGGCAGCGCACGGTAGCGAACAGGCGCAGGCGCGGCGCACAGTAGCTGTTTTGGCGCACGCGGGTGCAATGTAGTGAAGCGGCGCACGAAAGGCGCACAGTAGCAGGCGCGGCGTACGGGAGTGGTAGGGCTGACGTCAGCCGCGGTTGTGTGGGCGCGTGGAGGCGCGTGGCGGAGGTGAGTAGCAACAGATGGCGCGTGCGGGCGCGTGTGAGAGTGGTGGCGGAGCTGGTGACGCGCAGAAGGTAAAGGCGGCGCGTGTGGGCGCGTGGAGGGTGTTCTGAGAACGGGCTTGGTACCGTTGGAATCGTGAGGAAATTCCGAGCGGTTTGATGTATGCCACTGTGTACGGGACTAAACACCAAAATCAAAAATTGCCAGAAATGTAATACTGGGCTCTGATACCATGAAAGAATAATTTGAGAGAGTGATAGAGGATTGAGAGAGAGAGAAAGAGCTACTGAAATATTCTGTTGTTGTATTAATTTACAAGATGATTTACACTCTCTTTTATAGAGAGGGAAAGCTACATAGGGTGCCTTAATAGCACCGAAAGAAGAAACACAAATGGGGAACATCATTATGACTAACACTACCATCATTATGACTAACACTAGAATACAAATGGGGAACATCATTATGACTAACACTAGAATATACAATAATAAACTAACAATGGAATATACAACAATAATAAACTAACAAATTAAAACAAAGCATACAGCGGGCAAGATGTTTAAAACAAGACATTTCAATGCATGTATAATTTATTTAAGGTTCTTTTTAAGTATTAAAGCAAATTACACAATTACTCTCAACCAGGGAGATACTTCAACATTATCTTCATGCGAGTTAGCTATTGACTTTAGCTAAAATGTATAGGAAGAAAACCATGAAAGAAGCCAACCTCTCTCATAAAACCACAAATTATGAACAAGGTGAAAGAGAGATTATACACAACAACAGAACGGAGATGAAGAAAAGAGAAACTATTAAATTGATTTTCAGGTGGTCACGTACTCACATTGCAGGCATTTGTGGATGAACATCCAAAACCACCTCCACCAGTACACGGTTCACTGAAAGAAATATTTACAGGAACATTAAGAGTATTTGTAAAAGATGTTGCTGCTGTAACATATGCTGTTGGGGGAATAGTATCTGCATTATTATGGCACAACCACAATTAGAAAGTATTTCAAGAAATTAAAGCCATAGAAGTGCCAACAAATATAATCTTAAATTTGATTCTCAAATACAGTTCCCTCATGCTTCATAATGTTGGAAACCTCTAGCTTCTATGTTATCGAGGTTTTTTTTTTTTAAGTGAGCACCAGGCTTTAGACTTCCTTTTCAGTAGAATATTTGAAACCAAAACATTCTGTGTTTGGATACATAGGTGAACAACACTCCATTGTAATTCATGGTATTGGAAAGCATAAAATATGATCATCTTCTACAAAACATTTTCTATTGAACAACTATTGGGGGGAGATAAAGACATTTCTTTTTTTCTTTTTCTTTTATTTTTGGAACAAGAGATAAGACATTTGTTCACACATTTTTACAAACAGAATATTTATATATGCCTATGGATGATGAAGATCTTGTTGAAAATTCAACTAGATCGCCATAAGTACAAAGGAAGGTTTCCTAACCAACAGTCCAGTTATAGCTAGCACAGCCGATGCCTTGAGCCCCATTGGTGCAGACGTTGAATGTATGAGTTCCATCCTGCAAACCCCTGTAAGAAACCTCCCTAGCATCACAATTTGAAGGTGTGCTATAATCCAGCTGCATGAACAGTGTATAAATATATATTATTTAACAAATTTGATAAGAAAATAAAATAAAATAAAAAATGACCAAATTAAATCGACAAGAAAAATAATAAATTTATTAACACAATGAAGCCCCTTCTCAACTTTAGCCTAACAACCCAGGTAAACAACGAGTGCAGGCCTTGGCGCAGCACTAAAGTTGCCCCATTGCTACTTAGGAATTCAAACTACATAATATTAGGGAATTAGGGAGCCCATAAGCGCACAACAATACCGGCCCAATCCAATAGGGAGAAACTCTAAAGTCGACAAACGCCACATCAAGGCCCAACATACATCATTTGAAACTCATACCCACTTAAAAGCTTAAGCCTATAAGTTTTTTTACTCTTTATCCGATGTGGGACTCTACCTTCACACATACTCCAACGATCTCCCCCTCATGTGTGAACCAAACATTAGGCCTCGAGTCTGATCTATCATCAACAGATTCATCATAGATCACATGCACTCCCCCTTAATCTTGACCTATAACTCTCCAACATCAAGTCCAACTTGGGCCATACTCCATTAAGAGTTACCTTGCCGCAGTCCAACCTCTACATGCACCGGGAATTTTTCTTTTGCTCCATCAAGAGTCAACACGGATTTTTTTTCTTGCTCCATCAAGAGTTTTCCGTGCAAGCCTAAGTCCACCAACATCAATGCTCTAGGAAAGTCCACCCATAGATCATCTGTCATTGGCTCTGATACCAGTTGTCAAGGAATTAAGAAGTCCACAAGCGCACAGCAATACCGACCCAATCCAAGAGGAAGAAACTCTAGAGTCCACAAGCGCACAACAATACCGACCTAATCCAACAGGGAGAAACTCTAGAGTCCACAGACGCCACATTAAAGCCCAACATACATTATTTGGAACTCATATCCACTTAAAAGCTTAAGCCTATAAGTGGAAAGCCCATCTAATGTATATTAAGACCCATCTTTTTTACTTTTTATCCGATGTGGGACTCTACCTTCACACATGCTCTAACACATAAATCTGACCCTCCCAAACCGTGCAATGGCAAGAGCCTCATGTACTAAACTACTCTTTTTTACCCAGGTAAACATGGTCAGGAAAGAAGAAACGTAAGGAAAATGTTATTCATACAAAAATTTTATACATAAGCTATTACCAATATGATGTGACAATGGTATTTTTTCAATTAAATGTAGTTTAAATGGACACTTTGTTTCAAAATGATAAATCCTAATGCAACCAAGTCATTTGTATACAAATTTTGTATGAATTTTTTTATTTGTATATCACTACTCAAAACAGAATAGGCTAGAACTTGTTCAAGACATGCAACTTGGTAGCTGAACTTTATATAAAAGTAATCATAAAGCAAAGCACGCCTTCCCTTCCTTCTAAATAATTAGTTTTTTTCTGCTTATTTAAGCTATTTCTTCCCCATAAGCTTTAAACTACACCAAACAATCTGTCACATCCTTCCAAAATAAAATGAACTATAATAAGCTCATTTAAGTTGCAGAAAACATGGCCATAATCTATAAAAATAAATTCTGAATCAATGGGAGATCAAATAAACCCAAAATTCTTATGCTTTTGTCAAGTGATTCATTACAAATTTCTCAAACCTATCACATGACTTGAAAAAACAGATATGCTGATGAATTAACACTTGTCTAGACGACAAAACCACGAAATGGAGAACTCCAAATCAGATCCGTAGTATCAATTAAGATGCACACAAACACAGAGTGAATAGCTAAAAATCAGAGCAATGTAGCAACATAGTATATATATATACAAACCGTGCAATTGGTGATACAGTTTGGGCAAGTATCCCCATTAGGACCCACAAAAACTTGAAAAGAAAATGTAGCAGAGTTGAGCTTTGAGAATGCATGGGGGGTCTCGAAGAACTTCACAGAGACCTCAGAAGTGTTGTGACATTGAGCCTTCAAAAACAAACCCACAAAAACCCAACAGTGCAACAAAACCAGCCATGAAGCTTTTTCTTGCAAACCCATTTTCAGATGAATCCAATAAATCACATGTCAGAGGTTTGCGTAATCTGAGAGTAGGTTTTGCTTGTGAATGGCTCGTGAGATGGAATTTGAACAAAACAGAGAGGTTTTGTGGGGTTGCTATGGAGAGTAGAGAGACCCGTGAAGAACAATGTGTGTGTGCGTGTGTGTGAATGATTGAAGAGAGAGGGGATTAGATTAGAGAGGAATGGGGTGAGTGATTAGTGGTTGATGAAGGTTGCGATTGAGGATAGTGCACATGAGACTGACAGTGAAACAGAGTGTACTATGAGTGATAATAGATAGATAAGAGAGAGAGAGAGAGAGAGAGAGAGAGAGAGAGAGAGAGGGAATTTTGGAAAAAAATAGGAGGCATATAAATAAAATGACGACACGACAGGGAAACATTTTAGTTATCATGATTCTGTCTTTTCAAAACCATTTTGGAAAAGGAGATGGCTAATGGATTGGTGCATATTGTTCGTAAAATTAATTATAAGTTTTATTTTAATAATATAAATTATTTAATATGTAAAAATTGTTGAGTGCTTTATATTTAAAAAAATCACATTGATCGAATATTGATAATCTCTTGATCGAAACATATTTTTGTTAATAATTTATTTTTAAAATTATATTTATTATTGATAAAAATGTGTTCTGATCAAGAGACTACTATTATTTAATCAATGATATTTTTTACAAACATAGAATACTTGATGATCTCTACACATTAAACGGTTTGAATTATCAAAACAGGACCTGTGATAGTCTCCACATGCTTAACAGTATACTCTAATTCACTATGTGAACTAGGGAGAATTCTCTCTTTGAAAAAATGTGTTTAGTTTAAAATTTTTAAAAATAATTTTTTGAATTCATATTTTGTTGTCTTTAATATTTTTTTAGATTGCTTAGTTTGAATAAATTTATAAATAATAATGCTACAAAGCCCGAATATAGGGGCTCGAATTTGGCTCGAAATTAGGGGAAGAAAAAGGAGGAGGAGGAGGAGAAGAAGGAGAAGAAGAACTCAACTGGAGGGGCCAACAAAATCGGGCGGAGGTAGAGGTGAAGGTGGAGGCGGAGGCGGATGCGGAGGCGGCGGCGGGCGGAGGCAGAGGTGGAGGCGGGGCTGCAATGCCGACAAGCGACGAGGGACGAGCTGCGAGATCGGCCGACGAGCTAGGACGCCGACGGGCTGCGATGCCGACGACGACCTGCGTTCTCGCTCTCGCCTCTGTGTTCTCTCTCTCGCCTCTGTTCAACTCAACGAAGAAGAAGAAAGAAAAGGAAGAAAAGAAAAGGAAGAAAAAAAAAAAATCAAAACCCAAAACGACATCGTTTTGGGTTTTGAGCCAAATTCGAGCCCCTAATTTCGAGCCCTCAAACATTATTCAATTTATAAAGTATAAAATTTATTTGTTAATGTTTTGTTTGGTTAGGTGGGTTAGATTGGGTGGAGACTAAATTAACTAATAAAAAATAAAATAGGTTAAAAAAAATTAATAAAATAGAATATCATATTCAAATTATAATTATTTTGTTTTTTCTCTCATAAAAATAAAAAAATTCAAACCAATCAGATTTTTTAGTCTCAAGTTAAAAAAAAAATTTAACTCCAAAAAAATAACTAAAAACGTTTTTATCAAACGACACCTAAATATTGAAAAAAAATTAAAAGTATAATATATTTTCGTATTTTTTGAATTTATTGAAACTTATAAAAAAAAATTCATAAATATTTTATTTTTTATATTCAACTTACTTAATTTTATGATAAAATTACATAGGAATGTACATTGCACGCGGAAACATTATTATAAATAAATCTGAATCAGTCTAGAATTATGTGAAAACGAACTAACCTTCGTACGAGTCATGAGAACACCATTATTGATCCTTTTCACGGGATTGGAAAATACAAAATAGTTAATATATTTCATAAACTTTAATTAAATCAAGTTGAAATAAAGCTTCTGTTTGGCAAGATGGTTTTTAGGCTTTTTTGGCTATTTTAGCCACAAAAAATAAAATAGGCTATTTTAGCCATAACAAACAAAACATCACATCCAATCCATAATCATTACATTCTTCTCTCACAAAAAAAGCTAAAAAAGCCAAAAAGCCAAAAAACCATTCCCAAACCAAGCTTTTTAGCCCAGGCTAAAATAGTCAAAAAGTCAAAAAGCCAAAAAGTCAACCCACTTCCCAAACGGAGGCAAAGTATGGATGTAATTGAATTTATCTGTAATCCAAATAAGATAACAACATTGAAAAATGAGGCAAGTTTTTCTTCATATCTTTGCTGAAAAATATTAATAATTCATCATTTCATTCGCAATAGACTTGTAGTAAATGAGTTTGGCCTATATCATTGGAGATATAACAAATTAAATGTTAAAATGTAGTATACTACATCATTTGTATAAAAAAAATTATTTTAGTGTCAATCATTTTCCTATGTTTATTCCAGACGTGTGAAACCTATATAAATAAATAATTTAGATTTGTTTTGTGATATTATTACTTGTTACAATGAATAATTTCTTCAATATGCAAGCAAATGGGATGCAATTAGGGTTGCAAATGCGTCGAACCGGGTCGAGTTGAGCTTTAATATATTTGGATTTGTTTATTAAGATTTTAATGAGTTTGAGTTCGAGCTCGAGCTTGAGCTCAATAAAAATTTAACAAATCAAGCTTGAGCCGAGTTAGTTTAGGCTTGACTCGAGCTCAAACCTATTCGTGAACCTTAACGAGACAAAAAAATTATAAATTCATACTTGCATATAAGACTAAATTTACAATTAAAACTTTAATTATACAACTATATATACAATATATATAAACATACTTTTAAAAAGTAAATATTTTATCAAAATAATAATATCTACCACTACTAGCTATTATATAAATGTACTGTCTATAGTTAACTATTATTTACATTTATATTTTTTAAATATATAAATAACATATTTATCTTATTTTTTATACATATTTTTACATTATTTAATATATAAATAAAAAATGTTAAACAAGCCAATTAACGAACTAAACTTACGAGTTGATCTTTAGTACGTTTTGGCTTGTTATTAAAATTTAACGAGTGAGAGTTCAAGCTTGAAGGCAAAAACTAAAATAAAATAAATTTAACGAACCAAGTTCGAAAGAGTTCCTACCGAGTCGAATTCGAGTCTGTTCACGAATAACTCTATTCATTTGCAGCCCCTAGATGCAACAACAATATTGACTTGTAAACACAAAAAAAATGGAATAAATCAATTCAACCATGTTTGAAGAAAATAAAATTTAAGTGATTGGAACTAATATAAATAAAATGTAATTACATAATTAATAATATAGTTATTCATTTTTTTTACTAATAGCATCCATAATTAAATATAGATTTTATAAAAATATAACCCAAAAAACACAACAACAACAACTTCACATGCATGGACAGCTTCACCTTCCAAATTAGACACAACATGTTCAGATTTGTTTAGTTACCCATTTTGGCTGTCAAACTGTAGTTGTACCAAATTTGATTCAATAGCCCTCATTCATCCTGCCTCTCCTCCTTGTTTTAAAATAGTTAGAGGTTAACTAATTAAATTCATGGAATCAAATCTCAAAATACAGATCAATAATTAAATATTTCATTTACTATTCACTCTTAAGTTGTATTTGAATCGTGAATTTGAAAAGAAAAAAATAAATAAAATACAAGTAAAATGTAACTATAAGTTATGATAATATTTAAATTGTTCGGCTTGTCACAAATTGGAAAACTTGAATGGATCATTTCGTTTGGCCTTATGAGTCTGCAATAGATTATGATTATTAAATTAGTTTAGCTTTTTTATATATATATATATATATATAAAATCTATACACAGGTGTTGATAAAATAAATAAAGTACATTGTCATATGGTGAGCCCACATAAGTGTTTGAAAATGATTTTTTAAATTGAATAAAAAAAAGAGTAAATTATGCTAACAGTCCTTATAGTTTGAAATTTGTGTCATTTTATTTCTTGATTTTTCAATTGTGACACATTTGATCTTAAATTTTAAATATTGTTCCAAATAAGGACAATTCAAGAGCAAGGTCGTCAATTTGATAAAATATAAATTAATTTGACAAAAACAAATGTCAAAAAAATATTTTTGAATTTTTAAAAATTATTTCTAACCACCAAAGATAAAATGTAAAATTGATAAATCTTTTACACATTCATTTCTTTATTTCTTTTACCAAATTAATTTTATTATATGTTTGGATGATGATCATATAATAAATGGTTGTTTTTATTTTCACTAAATTAGTTTCTATTTTTTCAAAAGTTAAATATGGCGACACTTTGATATCAATATTAAACCAATCCATTAAATCAAAAAATCTAAAATTAAAAACATTTCATATATTAAATATATCGATTACACATTAAAAGCCTAACAACCACCCATTACAAGATCATCATCCAAACACATAATAAAAATTAATTTGGTAAATAAATAAATAAATAAATGCTTAAAATATTTATCAATTTTATATAATTTTATCTTTGGTGGGTAGAAATAATTTTAAAACATTCAAAAATATTTTTTTGACATTTATTTTTATCTAATTAGTTTATATTTTATCAAATTGATGACTTTGTCCTTAAAATTCAGTAATGATATCTTTAATTATCCTTATTTGAAATAAGATTTAAAATTCAAGATTAAATGTGTCGCAATTGAAAAGTTAGGAACTAAAATGATACGAGTCTCAAACTATAGGAACGATTAGTGTAATTCGCCCTAAAAAAAAGTGAATGATTATAAATTTATTTTTATAGTAACTTTTTATTTTATTTTAAGCTAAAAACCCAACTTTCCAAACAACCACAGTTGGAAATAAGTAAGACTCTATTTAAAAACTGGTAAAAGCAATTGTATTACATAAAAATTTAAATATATATATATATGTATATATATATATTTTTTTGATAATATATAAGCAAATTGATGAAATATAAGAAAGAGGAATGAAAAAATGCCATTGAAGATAGAGGGCAATTTGAAAAGTTAACTTCTAATTTTTTATGCATTTTGGATCATATCACGAGCTACTATTCCTATACACTTATTCCTCTTTATACGCATCCTTACTTAATACACTCACCAAATAATTTTTAAATTTTAATTTTCACTTTGTGCATGTCCCCTTCTCTCCAAAATACCCTCATCTTTCACTCCAAATCTTAAATCCCAAACCACCATAGCTGCTTGTCTATCAGTGTTCTCCCTCAACCTCAACCACT